ATGCAGTTAATGATCAGGTCCTAGGGAGCGTTGCCAAACAGAGATCTTGGCGTCTACCGCATCCCAAAACCAGCCCAGCTCGTCCCCGCCTCCCTAACCTGTCCTTCCTCCCACCTATCCCCTCCTCCCACCTCAAGCCCCACCCCATCTCCTACCTACTAACCTCATCCCGCCCCCTTGACCTGTCAGTCCTCCCTGGACTGACCTATCTCCTCCCTAACTCCCCACCTACACTCACCTTTACTGGCTCCATCCCCGCCTCTTTGACCTGTCTGTCTCCTCTGCACCTATCTTCTCCTCTATCCATCTTCTATCCGCCTCCCCCTCTCTCCCTATTTATTTCAGAAACCCCTTCCCTTCCCCCATTTCTGAAGAACGGTCTAGGCCAGAAACATCAGCCTTCCTGCTCCGCTGATCCTGCTTGGCCTGCTGTGTTCATCCAGCTCTACACCTTGTTATATCAGAGATCTTGGAGTGCAGGTTCATAGTTCCTTGAAAGTGGAGTCGCAGGTAGATAGGATAGTGAAGAAGGTGTTTGGTACGCTTGCCTTTATTGGTCAGTGATTGTGGGAGTTGGAAGGTCATGTTGCAGCTGTACAGGACATTGGTTAGACAACTTTTGGAATATTGCTTTCAATTCTGGTCTCCCTGCTATAGGAAAGGTGTTGTTAAACTTGAAAGGGTTCAGGAAAAGATTTGCAAGGATGTTGCCAGGGTTGGAGAGTTTGAGTTATCAGGAGAGGCTGAATAGGCTGGGGCTATTTTCCCTGGAGCATGAGAGGCTGAAGGGTGACCTTTATAGAGGTTTAGAAAATTGTGAGGGCCATGGATAGGGCAAATAGTCAAAGTCTTTTCCCTGGGGTAGGGAAGTCCAAAACTAGAGGGCATAGGTTTAAGGTGAGACGGGGAAGATTTAAAAGGGACCTAAGGGGCAACTTTTTCATGCAGAGGGTGGTATGTGTGTGGAATGTACTGCCAGAGGAAATGGACAACATTGTTACAATTACAACATTTAAAAGGCATCTGGAAGGGTATATAAAAAGGAAGGGTTTTAGAGGGATTATGGGCCAAATCTTGGCTAATGGGACTAAATTAATTTAGGATATCTGGTCAGCATGAACGAGTTAGACGAAGGGTCTGTTTTCATGCTGTACACCCCATGGCTCCAATCCTCGATAATCACAATTACAAGTACGCATGGCTTATGTCCAGCTTCATGAAAAGGACAGCTCCCCTGCTAGCTTTGTGTATAAATCCTCTTTGGAGGGATTGGTGTATTTACCCAGCTGTGAAAAGCACTTTACCATTTGTTTAAAATCCCTACAAAGACAAACCATCCTGTTGGGCTTCACAATTAGTGCTTCCTGTTTGCAACACTGGGCTGGTTTGATTCCTTTGCTTTCCAGCCTTCTGATTTCTGTCTGTACTTTTGCCCATAAGGCAAATGGCACTTGGCAGGGCTTGCAGAATCATGGAATTGCTTTCTGGTCAACATGCAAGGTGGTTTGGGCTCATTTGATAGTCTCTAGACCTTCCTGAAAAGCCTCTGGTATTCAATTAGAACTTCACTCAGGCAGCCATTTTCTAATTGAAAGTGTTGACCCAATCTAGGTGAATTTTTCTTAACCAATTTTGCCCGATCAAGCTTGGGCCCGAGCCTTTTACTACAACTGCTTCTCATAAGGGACTGGAACCAAAGTTATACCCATAATCTATACGGGTTCCCCAGTATAGGTTCTCAGTCTAGCAGAGGTCTTGCGCAAACTTAAGTTGGAGTTCAGAGCGAATTTTGTTAAAGACTGGTCCTGCGATCACTGAAATGGCCGCGTTGGTATCGACCTCCATTACAACCAGGTGTTTACTTTGATTCAGATTTAGATGTTGCTAAGCAATTTAAATGTTCCAAACCAGATATAGGTGGATTTTTCAGGGTGTGCACTCTCCTGGCTACCGACCTATGAGTTCTCTTTCCCAATTTAGGTCAAGTGTCCTCTGTTGCTGTCTTGAGTCTACACACCGGCAGTAACTGCAATGGCTTGCCAGCCCATATCCTGAAGAAAATTTTAACTGCTTGACCGAGGCTTGGCTTTGTTTTGGGGTTTGCTTTGAGCTGACCTAGAGTCCCTCCATTCGGATTATGTCCTACGTGAAGCTATGCAATTGCCTTCATTCAAGTGGTGTTCCCCAAGGTCGGGCGGACTGTTGAGAGTTTCCACTTCCGTTGGAATACACTGCAACTCATATGTTCCACTTGCCGAATTTTCCAATGATTAAGCCAGTTGTAGTGCCTGCTGGAAGTCCAGTTGGGTTTCAGCAATAGGTGATTTTGCATGGTTACGTCATTAATCCCACATACAGTCTCTCAGCATCTCATTAAGGATTAAACGTGAGTCACATGCATCTGCCAGCCGATTTAACCTAGTCAAAAATCCAAATAAGGATTCTCCTTTTTCTCGGATTCCTGAATAAGACCAATAGTATCTTATAATTAGATGAGGCTTGGGATCATAATATTCCTTAATTAAATACATCAACTCTTGAAAGAGTTAGGCTCCTAATAAACAAAAGGCTGGCGTCCACAAGCTGACGGGAGAATCACTTGTTGCATTTCATCTGCCACAATGTCATTTGCCCAGAAAGAATAACGCGTTCTTCCCAAATAATAGCATGATGCCAGAAATGCTTACCCCAACTTAAAGACAACTGTTGCAAGCAAATTTTACCAGGAGCGTGCTTTACTATCATCATCACTGACATAAATCCATAGAGACCAGTATCCTGTCACCAAGTCACCCTTGATTTACACGTGGAGAGTCCTCGACACTGATTCGGCTCCTTCACAGTCAGCTTTCAGAATGAACAGAATGTCTGGCACACCAGGACTCCCTGATTGGACCAGATTAACAGCCCCAATCAGGGAACTCATATTCTATGAGTCCCATCTAGCTGACCTCATTACAGTCACTACAGAGGGTTTTGATAAAGCATTAGGGTGTGATTGTTTCATCTTTTAAGTAGGTTTATAACTAGTAGTCATAGATTTAAAATAAATGACAAAAGGAGGAGGGATATAAAAATAAAATTCTTTACGCAGAGAGCTATTCAGATCTGGAATGCACTAACTTATTGGGTGTTGAGATCAGGTTCCATGGGCAGTTTTAAAATGTGATTGAACACTTTCTTGAAGGGACTAATTTTACATGAAGCATGATTGAAACCCTAATTCTAACCGTAGATGCTGCCTGGACTGATCAGTATTTCTAGCATTTTCTATTTTGTAATTTTATATGGCTGAACTCTGAATAAGAGACCTCTTTAAAATTACATAACTTCACCGGTGTTACTATCCAAATGCTGTCCTTCTGTGCTGTAAGAAATTATAAGATGTGTAAAGTCAGTTGCAAAAGGTGAAGGCTAACTGAAGTAACTGTGAAGCAGAATAAGCACTTAATAGCACTCTGAGAAATTACCATTTAAAATGAGCATGAATAGGAAAGTGTTAAAGATGAAGGGCTAATGAAGGCTCACTCATAAAACAGAGTAGGCATTCTGAGAATCATCTATTGAATAGTTTGGAAGGGAATATCTATGGAATTCCTTGCCCAGTGAAGTAGTTGACGATACTTCAGTAAATGTTTCTAAAAAAAAAGGTAGATTTTTTTTGAACAATAAAGGAATTAAGGAGTGCGGTGAGAAGCAGGTAAGTGGATCTGAGTCCACGAAAGGATCAGCAATGATTTTATTGAATGGCGGAGCAGGCTCGAAGGGCCAGACGGCCTACTCCTGCTCCTAGTTCTTATGTTCTTATGTTCTTATGAATATTAGCAGAAAATATTAAGGGAGAAAGGGGAAAATCCTACTGCTGCAGCCAAAGATAATAGAAAAGAAAATCTGGACAATTTCTATAATTCAACATTATTATTTTTCATAGAATCATAAAATCATAGAATCCCTACAGTGTGGAAACAGACCCTTCGGCCCAACGAATTCACTCCGACCCTCAGAGCATCCCACCCAGACCCATCCCCCTATAACCCACCTAATCTAAACATCCCTGAACACAATGGGCAATTTAGCATGGCCAATCCACCCTGCCTGCACATCTTTGGACTGTGGAAGGAAACTGGAGCACCCGGAGGAAACCCACGCAGACAGGGAGAACGTGCAAACCCCACACAGTCGCCCAAGGGTGGAATTGAACCTGGGTACCTGGCGTTGTGAGGCAGCAGTGCTAACCACTGAGCCTTTTTATTTGCAATTTTCTTCTAGCTGTTATTTTTAAAACTGCTCAAGACAAACCAATATATGTTCCTGGTTAGACTGTCTGATCAAAACATATTTTGGGGATCATTCATTAAAATTTGTAATGTTGTATTACATAAACATCAATAATTTAGTCACAAGTACACACATACTTGCACCTTTGTTGCAACTTGCTAACTAACATTAGATCAATTTGAAATCCTCCCTTGCACTAGTGGGATGACATGTGGCAGAAGAGTGTAGGGTCTTTGTTCAAATGCAGACAGTGGGTTCTGATTGCAATTTTAGTGCTCATCAAGTTAACCAGATGCAAAAGAAGCTGAAATTAGAGGAGGTGAGATGAAGTTTTATTTTACGCTTTGTGGGCCAGGAGCACAAGTATGCCTCAGGACCACAGGAAACCTTGGGTTTCTCTTGTCCTTGACTGTAGTGCCCTCATAAACCTCATTTAACTAAAAGAATGTTTGCCAGTCATCTGTTCTTTTCAGAAGGAAAATTTTATGTATTATCTTCCATTGCTGCCACAGCAAATCAATTTGTTCCTAAGATTGTAAAATAATAGGTTTATAAGCTTTACAGCTGGGAAAGCATGTGTTTAACAACAATGACTGTTATCAATACACAGATTGGATGTTGTAATTTTTTTCAAAACCATAAATAATGTCCAACACTGTTAGCAATGTATTTGGCCTACAGTGATCAAATGATTAATTGGATGTTTTTACTTTTTCTTTCAGGCTACAGTGGTGGAATTGCAAGGCAGTGAAGACCATGGTATGTGTAGCTAATATACATTCCTTAGTCTGATAATTTGATTTCTTCTTCTTTTGTGGTATTAATGGTGTGCCCCACGCACTGGGTCCTCCTCTTTTCATTATATTTATAAAAGACTTGGATAAAGGAATATATAGCTTTCTATCTAAGTTGCTGACAACATTAAATTAATGGCACAGTGAATAGAATGAGTAATTGTCAGAAGAAAATCATAACGGGACATTGGTAGATTAAGTAAATGGGCAACACATGCTGCTGGGACTCAGTGAGAAGTCAGTCACTTTGGATCTAATAAAGACAGATCAGAGTATTTTCTTAATATCAAATGTCTTAATATCAAAAAGGAACTATGGATGAGCAGAGACACTTTGTATCCTAAGAACAGAAGCTATAAAAGGCTTTTGGGCATGTACAAAAATAATTACAAGGCTAATGAAATGCTAGCCTGTATTTCAAGAGAGCTGGAATGCAAAAAAGTGTAGGTTATGCACCTCGCCCCAGAAAAGACCAGTTGGCCTTGCAGGACTGTATCTCTGCACCAGAATGGTATCCGAGGTAAAAGATTAAGTTATGAATATAGTTATGCGGACCAGGCATCTGTTTCCTTAAATATAGACATTGGAAGGATGACCTTTGAGATGATCAAGGAGTTGGTAAGATATAGAGAGACAATTTACTCTGATGGGCTAGTCCAGTGTAAGGGACATAATCTTAAATTTTTGGTGTGGCTATGTGGGTTAATATCAAGAATCTGGAACACACTCCTAAAAGGCTGTGGATGGTGGTTCAATTAAAAGCTTCAAGATTTGAGAGACTTTTGTTTGAGAGTTGTGGAAGCAAAGCAGGTGTGTGAAATAATGGAACAGATCACACGTGATCTAATCAAATAACCTACTTTTGCTACTGTTAAAGAAGTTTGAATTTTGAATGGACTTCTCAAATGTTAATTCTGATCACTCTCTCTGCGGCCATAACACTGTATTCTGTACTCTGTTCTGCTACCCTGATGCACTTTGTTGGTATGGTCTGCTTGTATAGCATGCAAAACAACACTTTTCACTGTATCTCGGTATATGTGACAACAATAAATCAATCGTGTTACTCTGTCCTTGTGTAATGTTGGTGCTAATGTAGGTAGACCTAACCATGAAATGGCGTTGGTGCAGATTCGTAATGAATACAGCTGAACTGTTGAATGTATTGTTGGGGAATACTCCAAAAGCAAATAAAAAGCAAAAGAACTGCGGATGCTGTAAATCAGGAACAACAGATGTTCCTGGAAAAGCTCAGCAGGTCTGGCAACATCTGTGAGGAAAAAATCAGAGTTAATGTTTCTCTGCTATAACAAGGTGTAGAGCTGGATGAACACAGCAGGCCAAGCAGCATCAGAGAAGCAGGAAGGCTGACGTTTCGGGCCTG